GGGGGGGGGGTGTATGTGTGTGTTTATTGATTAGTCTGCAGTGAGTTGCAAATACCTTTTCCCCAGTTTGTCTTTGACATTGCATACACTGGTTTTTGCTTAGTAGAAAATTTTCATTTTTATGTAGTCAAATTTTTTTTTCCTTTTTGGCTTCTATAATTTGTGTTATACTTAAATCTTTCTTTCTTTCCAAAGAATTTCTTACCACAGTTCATTCTGATATTTTATGGTTTCATTTTTACATTTAAATTTTTGATTCACTTCAAATTTATCCTAATAAGGTTTGGATTGATTCATGTCATTTTCAGATGGCTATCTAGTTGTTGCAACAGTTAATAGATTTGAGGTTTTTCTAACTTTATTAAATTCCTATATGTATTATATTAAATTCCTATATGTGTTTAGGACTATCTCTGAACTTCCTATTCTTTTCTATTGATACATTTTTTTATGCATCAGGATCATACCATTTTAATATCACACCATTTAAAATCCCCCCTTGCCCTGGCCAGTGTGGCTCAGTTGGTTGGAGCATCGTCCCATACACCAAAAGGTTGCTGGTTCGATTCCCCGTTGGGGCACATACCTAGGTCGCGAGTTTGATCCGTGATCGGGTATAGCAGGCAACTGATCGATGTTTCTCTCTCACATTGATGTTTCTTTCTCTCTTTCTTCTTCCCTTCCTCCTAAAATAAATAAATAAAGTCCCCTCCTTGTTGGCATATGAGTTTCTTAACCTGAGGTATGTATATGGAGTTTGTGGGGGATAGAGAAAGTCTTGAATCCAGTGGAATCTGTTTATAATTTTGGGTATATATGTAAATGTGATCTTTTCTGGGGAGAAATGCATAGGTGTCATTGAATTCTCACAAAGATTCATGACTCAAAAAAAGTTGAATCACAAATCTAGAGCAGTGATTTTCAACCTTTTTCATCTCATGGCACATACAAACTAAAAAAGGTATAATTTCGATTTACAAAAAAAATAAGAAAAAATTACCTACTCTTTTTGCTCCAAAGTGACCTTTTAAAAAATCAGAATCAGGTGCCTATATTTGTATATAAGGATTTTTGGTACCAAGAATTAACCAATCAGACATAGCCTTATTATGTGATGTGACCAATAAGATGCATCTCTATTATATGACCTATATATTTATGGTTTAAGATAGGGTATTCACACCAGATGGCTATTGTTGTGTTGGCTGTTGTCATTTTTTTTAATTAGAAAATCTAAGGGAAAAGAGGTCAGTGTCTCTGACTAAAGTCAGGTATTGCATGTTTTAAAAATTCTTGTGGCACACCAGTTGGAAATCACTGCTCTAGAGAAATGTTAGAGCCACATATCCTGAAAGCAGTCCTTCATGAATGTTATTTTTTTAATCCAATTTCTTTATGAGGTAGATATAAGTAATTGCTTGTACATACACAGAGTATCTAGAAGATGCATGAGAAATTGATAACATTGCTTGTCAGAAGATGGGAACTAATGGTTAAGTAACAGGTGGGGGAGACCTCATTATTATGCCCTTGTATATCTTGAATTTTGAACCATGTGATTGTATTATCTTTTTAAGAAAGTAACATTTAAAAAATTAAGGTGAGCAATTAGATAGTTCTTCTATATTGTTCCAAGAATGGAAAGGGAACAGTCCTTGGTCATTTACTGCTAGCTTTTTAATATTACTGGATATAATGCTAGACTTCCAAACCACTGCAAATTACATCACCTTGGAGTCTGACTTTTTGCAGTAGTAAAAAGATGAATTTGCAAGGTCATATAGATTAAATGAGTTAATATATGTAAAGCATCTAGTACAAATGTTAGTTTCTTCTTTTTACAGCATATTTTTTTTCTCTACAGGGAGTCTGAAGATACAGTATTGCTGGTCCTCAAAGAAATCTACCAAACCCAGGGTATCTTCCTTGATCAGCCTTTACAGTAAAAATGAATCTTCTATGGCTGCCTAATGTAAGTTTTTAAATGTCATGTATATAGTATAGTTCCTACATATTAACATGTTATAAAGAACTATGGGAGTCGGGCTCTTTATAAATATACTTTTCTGTTGCCTGTCACTAAATTCTAGGTTATTATTCATTTTTAGAGGGACTCTGATTAAAATTCATGGGGAAAAGGTGCTATAGTGCTGTGATGTGTGTGCGTGTGTGTGTGTGTTTGTGCATGCGCTTTGCTAGTGATTTTGTCCAGTAACATATGTCATTTTAGGATCCAAACTCAGAATCTTAATAGTTCTGGTCATCAAAGAGTTACCATGGCAGCAGTTACAGTTTTAATTACAAACAGCCCATCCTGAGATTTAAATTACTCAGCCTTTTTAGATACATATTTTATCTAATGTGTATTAGACTCTGGCATTCTCTGTGGGTACCTTCAAGTTGTGACAGCGTGGTGACCTCTTTTCCCCTCTCTCCCCTAGATGGACATTGAGGGGTCCTTCCCCAGAAATCCACCTGTTTGTTGCTGCAGTTTTTCTCTCCTCAGCTGCATCATTTCTTGCATGTTGCCTGCCACTTACTCACCATTGGGGGCTTTGGAAGATAATCTTCCAATTTGGGAGTGGAAAAGCAAAGGGAACATACCTTATTACTTTTTACCACTGGCTTCATATAAATACTTGTCATTCTTTCTTCAGCTGGAGATGGCTTGCGTCCTTAATTCTTTGATGATAGTATTTAGGTACCACACTTCATTGCTTATTACATGAGATGGTAGTAAGTCTGCTTTGGGTTTGATTTGTTTTGGGTTGGTAGAAATTTTTCTAGGAAATGTTCTAGTTTGGAAGCAGACTGTTGAGATTCAGCAGGCAATTGGGGTACATTCGTCTCTCATTAGGGTTCTCTGCAATTGAAGGCTAAGTCTAAGTGTATATGGAAAAGGTTGTTGGGCAGTCAAATTCTGTTGATCTGTCTTGTCTTTTCTACAAATTGTGTTATGAAGAAAGACTAAAATGTAGCTTAAATTATTGTTAACTCTCTACAGCTGACTGACAGTTTTATTGCTAGGAATCAATGATGCTATGGTGTTCATTGTTTTTCCAGCTGTTTGGGCTCCTTTGAGAGTCTAAAGTGGACAATTTAGTTCACATTAGGTGCACCTTTATAAAGCAAAGATGTTATATATCTAGATTAAGTCTGACAATTATTTGATAGTAGCTTCTGTTCTTAAGTTGAGAGTAAAGCTATAAAGGCTAAAATTATATAGCCTTGAATAAATAAAATCTCTTAGTTGATTGTATTTATGGTAAAATACAATTTTTGTAAGTCACCTGCCATATTGACTTGAGTGAAGGTAGTATTGGGTGTACTCTTTAAAAACACTTTGTAACATCATTGCCTTCTTAGGTACCTACCATAAACCAGAATGCTTATTTAAAAGGCTCATGGCACAGGCAGTGTTGGTTGAGATGTCGGTTTGGCTAGAGGGGAAATGTTTCTTAGTCTGAAAGAAAACCTATGCAGTAGCCAAGGAACAGCTACTGTAGAGTCAGTGTCAGAACATGCAAAGCAAGATGTACCTTGAAGAAAACGGGTGAATGTAGACTAATTTTTTCTAAGGCACATGCTCACCACTGTGCTGTAGGTATTTTCTCTCTCATTGGTCAGAATTTGTCAATGTTTTTGCAATATTCTTTGTGATACACTCCTCTCAGATTTCCATAAGCCACTGAGTGGCATAGACAGGCAAGCTGTGTGTGTTTTGTTTTTTAAAATAAATGTTATCATGGTATTGAAAGCACTGGCATTTAACATTCACTTAAGCCATTCCTTTGACAGCAGTGCTCTTTATCCCTTTCTGGAGAGAAAAAGGAAGGGGAAGGTTAATTACTGTCACCCTAGAGATGGTACAGGTAAGATTGGGGTATAGGTCAGAGCCTGGCCTTTCTTTGTTCATCTGCTTCTAAACTAATGCTGACTAAACCACTAAGCAGTTTCGGATAAATTGAATACTTTATTTTCTTTGTATGTAAATTCTGAGTTTGAAATAAGGGTTGAGAATTAAGTAGCATTCAATATATATTACAGGGAAAGTTTCTGCTTTTCATATTAGCAGAATTGGTACTATTTATGAGTAAACCAAAGGACAAGCAAGAATGAGTTCTTATAACCAAAGATGAACAGCATAACTCTCGATAGCTAGATAAACCACCACTTTTTATAAGAAATGTTTCTTTCCTGGTGGCGAGGGCAGGTAGCTGTAAAAGAGCTTTATATCTTGTCTATCCACCTGTGGTATTATCATGACTGCATATTACACAGGGTAATAAGCTTGATTTTTTTTCTCTGGAATCTGAAATATTTATTCATGTAATTGTATAGCTTTATAAAGAAAAGTAATGAAGGAAAATGACTTAGAGCTAGAAATTCTTAAGTATCTTAGGATCTACCAATTTCAAAATCTGCTGAGTAAGGTGAGGTAGCAGAATTCTCTTAGTTTCCCTGTCTGTCCTTAGTAGCTAAATCAGTGGGTATCCTTATACACAAAGTAATGTTCAGTCAGTAAAGGTTTTCCCAGGACTACATATGAAATGAGTCATCTCAGTACTAGTCTTCTCTGTCCTGGTTGTAATTATACAAAGAAATAATCATATTTACACTTAATTCACTAGCATCTTAGGGAACACATTTCACTAAAAATAAAAAGCAGCTCTCTATTCTAAAAGTTAAGAAACATCTAGAAGAAAATACAAATAAGCATTCTAATCATGAAGCAGTGTAATAAGGCAATGGATGCCTTTCTGGCTGGAAATAACAATGAAACATTTAAAAATGATGACCAAATGTATTTCAAATATACTCTTAAGTAACACCTAACATAGCAAGTTTCACTTGATTTGGAGAGCTCCTGGGTTGGTGAACACGTGGAGGTGCTGGGAGAGTGGTGTGCCAGGAGAGGGCATGAAAGCTCCACACCCCTTTCCCATTGCCTTGCCCTATGCATCTCTTCCATCTGGTTGTTCCTGTATTCAGCTGTTGATGTCAGAACATCCAAACCTCCCGCTCTCCTTCCTTGCATGTCCACTCCCTTAATCATTAAGCCCTCAGGACAATTAGGTTCTGGTCAGCATCAAACAGTCTTAGAAACAAAGTCTCAGGTCTAAATAACATGACCATTTTTCTTTTTTGTATATTTTGCAACTTCCCCAAATCTCCAGAAAGATCAGATTTGCTTATTTCTTTTTTGTCCAATTAATAGCCAGATAAAGAGATTTCACAGGGTGATGTCTTAAACAAAGAGCTTCTGTTGTCTTGGAGCTCTAGGGCCCTGGCATGCTGGCATATGAAAGGATTCTGATTCCTCAACCTGGAAGCTCCAATAAGCCTGATTTAAATCCTTTGTTTAGTTGTATATATTTTCTTTAATCACTTTTTATTTTTTAATTACAATTGACATACAATATTATGTTAGTTTCAGGTGCACAACCCAGTGATTAGACATTACATAATTTACTAAGTGACCATCCTGATAAATCTTGTACCCATCTAACACCAGTTTTTAGAATATTAATGACTATATTCCCTATGCTGTACTTTATATCCCCATGACTATTCTGTAACAACCAATTTGCACTTGTTAATCCCTTCACCTTTTTCACCCCTCCTTCCAACCCCCCTGTCAGGTAGCAACCATCACAATGTTCTCTGTGTTTATGAGTTTGTATCTGTTCTGCTTGTTTATTGTTTTTTAGATTCAACTGTTGATAGATATGTATTATTGCCATTTTATTGTTGATATTTTGATCTTTTTTTTTTCCTAGGAGACCCTTTAACATTTCATGTAATACTGGTTCGGTGGTGAACTCCTTTAGCTTTTTCTTGCTTGGGAAGCTCTTTATATGGTCATCACTTTGAATATTTCTTGCCAATCCCTTCTGGCCTGCACAGTGTCTGTTGAGAAACCAACTGACAGTCTTATGGGAGCTCCCTTGTAGGTAACTGCTTTTCTCTTGCTGCTTTTAAGATTCTTTGTCTTTAAGCTTTTGCATTTTAATTATGATGTGTCTTGGTATGGGCCTTTTTGGGTCCATCTTGTTTGAAACTCTCTGCACTTCCTGGACTTGTATGTCTATTTCTTTCACTAGGTTAGAGAAGTTTTCTGTCATTATATTTTCAAATAGGTTTTCAATTTCTTGCTCGCTCTCTTCTTCTGGTATCCCCTATGATGTGTTGGTACAGGTGAAGTTGTCCCAGAGGTTCCTTACACTGTCCTCATTTTTTTTTGCTGTCCCAATTGGGTGTTTTTTGCTTCCTTATATTCCAAATTGCCGACTTGAGTCTCAGCTTCATCTACTGTTGATTCCCTGTAAATTATTCTTCATTTTAGTTCGTGTAGCCTTCATTTTTTCCATGTCCTTTTTCATGCTGTTGAGGTTCTAAGTTCATTGAGCATCCTTAGAATCATTGTCTTGAACTCTGCATCTAGATTCCTTGTCTTCATTTTGTGTAGTTCTTTTTCTGGAGTTTTGTCCTGTTCTTTCATTTGGGACGTTTGTCTTCTCATTTTAGCTTCCCTGTGTTTGTTTCTATGTATTAGGTAGAGCTGCTACATCTCCCAGGCTTTGTAGAGTGGCCTAATGTAGTGAGTGTCCTGTAGTGTTCAACCCATCACCCAAGGTGGGTAGTCCAGGTGCATCCCCGGTGTGGTCTGTGTACATCCTCCTGTTGTAGTTGAGCTTTGGTTGCTGTTGGCACATCAGTGGGAGGGATTTTAGTTATCTGTTATTTGCACTATTTCAGTTGTATCATGTGCAATCTCTTGACCAAACTTATTTTAAACTCTAGTAGAGTGTCATTTTATACATAGTCCCAACTCCAGAATTGGTATTGCATATCTTAGCAAAAGAGATTGTTTGCATGGAAAGATTAATAGCACTGATTAGCTTTGTAATATTTTGCACTTTTTGAAATGTCTGTTTTTCTACGTGATTATATTTAAAACTCTAGTAAATACTGAAATAAAACCACATTGACCTGTTGCCTACTGTTACCTGGTTCATCCATCATAAAGAAAATCGGTACAATAACCACTTTCTCTTTCTCTATGTATTACTAAACAAATTTCAAAAAACAAAAGTTTTGAGCAAGGAACTGATAAATTTAAGTATTTTTCCCTTGTGTGGTGTTTTCACTGTCATAGGCAGATGCAGTTCATCTGCCTATGATAAATTCATGTGAGCAGGGGCGAAACTGCATAATCATATGGAGGCAGATGCTGATGTCCTCACGTGTTCTTAAGAGGTCAAAAGGTAGAGTTTAAAGCCACGGCAATTTTAAGGCAAATACTGAGACTGTCCTTTGCCATTTATAATCATCAGCCATTATTGTAGTTGAATCACTTATGTCAGATGGGGAAACCAATGTTTTACTCTGAAAATGTTCCAGCTCTTGAATGGTACACTTAAGTACAAAAAAACAACAACACAGACACATTTACCATTTTATTTGAGTATCACACTTACTGAAGGAAAAGATACATTGAGAATATGTTATAGAAAGAAGTATGTAAGACAAGGTCATGTCTAACATATAATCTCAATAAAGAGAAAGGTAGTTGTAGGTACTATAGCATCAGTTCTGATGATATCCCATAATTGTTCCTTGTAGCTCATTGTGAAGATGGGACAGAAAAAGACTGGTTCTCCAGATAACGATGGCTGTAATTTTTCTTTCCTGCCTTAGCCAGTTGGCAAAGGTGATGCATTTGGGCAGATCTTCAGTCATGAAGGGAAAAAGAAGCTCATGAGCAGAGTTAAGACAAATGAGGTAGAAATGGTCATCAGTTGTTAGCACTGAAACCACACTCCTAACCATTTTCTTTTTTATTGTGTTTGCTTAGTAATTTGACAAATCATTTATGTTCACAGTATTAAAAATAGACAGTATTATTTAGCTGGACTTGGGTAAGATATGCATAGCAATGGTAAACCAGCCAGAAACGGACATTTTCCTAGTTAAGGCTTGATGGGATTGTCACCAGAAAAAGTAAACAGAACCAAAATAATTTAGTTGGTCATGCCCTAAATTTTAAGATTTCAAGGTATAGGAAATGAAGTTTTGAGAATTAATTCTAGCTTTTAGGATAAAGTAGAGCTATGTAAAGGCTTCTTTGTGACAAGATCCTTCTAAGGCATTTATATTAAGTGTAGAAACACTGTAGATCTTGGGATACCAATCTAATGGACCAGATTCGTAAGCTGTTGGAGGACAATTGAAAGATCTCTTATCAGAATGTGTGGCATACAGTAGTGGAAAAGAACCCTGACTCCTCATGATAAATTCATGTGAGCAGGGGCAAAACTGCATAATTATATGGAAGTAGATGCTGATGTCCTCACGTGTTCTTCTTAAGAGGTCAAAAGGTAGGAAATTCTTATCTTTTCATGGTCCAGAAAGGAGTGGCTGATTCACCTATTATTCTCCATTGAGGTAGCTCCAGTTTCTAAATATCAAAATGATAAGGGCCCATAGAATTCTTTTGTGCAGGGGGAAGTACAAGTCTGCTGTGAAATGGTTTATGGCATTCTGCATCAGTCAGAGGAGGGTAATACTGCCTATAGCAGACATAGGCAAATGTCAGGCCAATCATGGATCCAACCAGTACATCTGAAGAGAGAAGAGATAAAGTCTAATCATATTAGGCTCTTCAATCATGTCAGACAGCACAGAATATAGAGAACTTGGTCCTACAGGTTATTCTTTATTTATTTTTTAAATGTATCTTTATTGATTTCAGAGAGGAAAGGAGAGGGAGTGAGAGAGAGAGAAACATCAATGATGAGTCATTGACTGGCTGCCTCCTGCATGCCCCCAACTGGGGATTGAGCCCGCAACCCGGGCATGTGCCCTGACTGGGAATCGAACCCTGATCTCCTGGATCCTAGGCCGATGCTCAACCGCTGAGCCATGCCCGGCCGGGCCCTGCAGGTTATTCTAATTGTTTGGGGTGCAAAGACCCAGGTTCAGGGCTTTCTCAGTTTCATCATATAGTTTACAGGATTATCTTTTATCAGATTGTTCTCTAAGCACCAAAGCAAAACATATCTTTAGTTAAGTAAGTATAGGAAGTATTTTTCCAAGTACACTAGATTGATTTTTTTAAAAAATTCAGAACAACAACAAAGTTCCACTTCATGCTATTAATTTTCATTGTTTTTCACCATTTAAAGAGTTCTAGAGGAACGGATACATTTTTCAGGAGTTGCCTCTCTTTGTACAATTAGTTTATTCTTAAAATAGGTCTCTTAAGGACCTCTGGTCAAAACTCAGTTTTTTTGTTTTTTGAATTGTGGATTTTCTGTGAAGATATTTTGTAATTTGGATGTTTTATTATATCATTCAACTTTATGTTTCCTTGAATTTTAGTTTCATTTTCGAACAAAATCTCATGACAGTGAACTTGATTTTTATTTTAAGACCATAAATTTGAGCTTTGAGGTTTGCTGTAAAACATTTATTCTAAATTTATGATGCTTCAAAATAATGGAAAAATTAGGACATTCCTCTCCTTGGTAATCTCTTTAAAAGGTAACTGTGTACTTTCTCATCTTTCATGTAGTTAGAAATGCATACTCTCAGTTCAGAACCCAGACCGTCCCATACTCATTGGTTTATTCATTCAGCAGATGCATAGTGAGCTGCTCCTCTGTGCCAAGTGCTAGAGGTAAAATGATAAGGAAACATGGACGCTTCCACAGCATGAATACCTAGCTTACCTTGCCAGTGATGCTTGTAGTCACAGGTGCGGGACAGTGCAATCACAGTTGCAAAAAACAGAGGTGACAGAAAGGCACAGAACCTCCAAGATTTCCCACGGCCTTGTGGTGTGAAGCAATGTAACTTCCCTGCCAGGTAGAAGGAAGCAAAGGCCAGCCCAGCAAATGCAACTAGAAGAGGAAAACCTGTAAGCGTACGTCTTTCAGAGGAAACCACCTCACTAATCTGCATGTTTTATCCCCCTTTTTTTGTACACTTCTGGAGTAGAACACTGGTCATGAGGGAGAGGGAAACAAAAGGAAAAATGGAACACTGTATTTTGTGTTCCAAAGTTAATATTTATCCTAAGAATAGTTTTTGGAATACTAGCTGTATGACTTTGGGCAGGTAACTTCTTGATACCTCAGTTTTCTCATGTATAAATGGGAATCATAAAAATAATAGTACCTACATAGTAAATGAGGTGAGAATCTAAAATGCTTTCCAAAATACCTGCCACAGAGTGTCAAGGTTAGTTAATATTTCTATGACTAGTACCAGACTGTAGGATCTAGCAAATAGTACAATAATAATAAAATGTTCAGATCTCACGCAGGTAAACTACTTCCCCTATTCTTGAATATGTACCCTAACATTTGAGACTTGTGAAATCTTGGGGTTCTTAAAGAAAGAGGGTAGAGCTGCTCCAACTTCTAGATATAAGAACAAGAGTAGTGGGATGTTTTCATCCTCACAAGATTCCTGTGCTAAATTCAGTGGTCCCCCAAAAGCACAGAAGTAGAGTCCACAGGTAGGCATACAGGAAGAATGTCCGCTAGGGAAGCTCTTGCGGCCCTCATTCACCACGGCGTCCTCTCCCGTGCACATCAAGTCGGAACGGGCCTGCCCATCCGGGAAGCAGCGGTAGAAGAAGTCTGGGCGTGGCCTGGAAGAAACGAGCGTGGTCTGAACAGAGGTCATTTACAAGTCCAGAAATTATATTTTGGTGTATCAGACATCAATAATCCTGTTAACTGTTGGTCAAATAGTGTCCCAGGGAACATGATTAGATTAGATTAGGATAGTCACCACTAGAGAAAAGCCTTATTTCCAGGCTTGATATTTAATTTAAGGGAGGAAAAAAGTCACTCCAACATGTGGTTACTTTTTAGGGCAAAGAGCAAGCAAGTCATGGTGCAGCTTCAAGGGGTACTTGGACACTGACACTACTGTGGTTGTCAACAGGAAATGCTGTTTGGGGCAAGAAATAGAAGAAGTGTCACCCGCAGGACTGAGGTGTAGGGAAGGGAGCAAGAACAGGCTGAGACTAAAGAAGAGGAGAGATGTATGCCGGAGTGCCATTAAGCATCTCCCGCCGAGGTAAGGGCTGAGGCAGACACTGGAGGCTAACTCGTCACTTACCTCCCTACTATCAGTTTTACTGTGTTGGTGAAGACACCATTCAGAACCAGGGCAAGGCTGGCAGCTGAAAGCAAAGAAACTTACTGTTAGTGGCATCTGCCTAGGAGGAATCGCATGCTCACTGTCCCATTGACAGCAGTCATAGCCATTCTGAGATAGAGGAATGAATGGTTGGGCTCCAACCAGAGCTGAGCACAAAATAATTCTGGCCCTCAACAACTGACTGCTGTATTGTAGCACAGGGAGAGCTTCTGTACTAGGCTGAAGACACTTCTGAGGAACAGATAACCCAGGGCATTTAGTCATACCTTGTGAGGTTAACCAAGTTCTTACAGTGCTATTTTTCTGTTTCTCCCCCTTAACAAGTGGGGTGTGGGGCAGATACAGTTACTTCAGGAACTCAGAACTCAGTGGCCTCCAAACACTGAGGCCACAACCCCTGCCTTCTCATTCCAGCACTAAGACAGGACCAGCTAGAAAGGATTAGCTCTTACCCAGGCAGGCTTGCCTGCTGTCTGCTGTGTCTGCCTTCTTGAGCCATTTCGCCAGGAGGATCAGAGACAGTGGAGTGAGAAATGCAATGACCTGAACCAGAACATGTCAAAGGTTAACAACCAAAATGAAACCACAAAACTAGTTGTTAAAGGTGCTCCTACAGAGAAGAGGGATGGAAATGGCAGAACTCATGTATGAGACCCAGCTGTTTCCCAGGAAAGATGTAATTAGCATCTCAGTGTTGGGTTAAGTGGGCTCGGGCAGTTCCTGCAGAGTACGCAGCGGGGCATCCTCAGGAACTGAGCTCACAGAACATGGCTCTTGAGCCAAAACAGACGAACGTCTGCTCTCTAAATCTGGATTTTAAACATTAGGAAGCAAAAAGCTAAAGAGCACATCTGGAACCAACATCTTAGCAACATCAACAAAGGGAGTAATAAGTTCCCTACAAAGACCATTTTGGAGCCAGAATGACCACTTTCGCTGCCCAGCATTAAAGCTCAGTAAGAAGCGCTCAGGGGCAGAAGGAAGGGCTGGCTCTCCACGCACAAACATCGACTTGGTGGGGAAATACTCCGCTTCCACATACGGATTCCGGTAAAGCCACATCTCCTCTGGCTGGATAAGCCTCTGGAAGGGAGGGAGCAGCTCTGTTACCCTGAAGCGAAACACAAAAGTGCAGACGCGTCGGTTTCCTTCCTCCCGGCTTCCCGCGGAAGAGCCCCGACCTCGGCAGGGGCCGCGGGACCCGCCTACCCGGTCCTTGCAAGAGGGTGTGGGGCCGGGGCCCGATCCTTAAACCGCTTACAGGAAGGCCGCGAAGAGTGCGATCCGCACGCCCAGCTCGGCCCCGAAGGCCGCCGCCGCCTTCCTCACGCGACCCATCCCGCTGACGTGGCTGCCGCCGCGGCGGGGCCACG